ATAAATCAAGCTTAAGTAACAAACAGTAGCAATAATATATTAAAAACTTGAAAGCTGATTTTGGAAAATGAAGGAACGAATCTATTCCTTTTAAAAGTTAAATGCTAAACTTCAATTTCTAATTTATGCTGTATCCATAAATGTAATGGGTTGGATCCAGACTTGCTCCTTCAATTAACAGAGGAAACTGGGAACCAGCAGAGGTTCCTCACAGAAAGGGAGTGGTTTTCATAGTTCCCGCTCCAGCCCACAGCATCACTTTCCATGTTGTCCTAGGCTCTAAGAACCCTCAACTCTTGAGAAGTTTTGCAGGATACACAGGGGGCTGTAGGGGGTGGAGGAATTGGCAAAAATCACCTCCTCACCCTTCCCCAAGTGTAAGCAGAACAGTACTGAGTGCATTTCTTGATTCAAACCTACTAAAGACATACATCTTTGTCCTGGTCGTTGACACCTGATATTGACATCTATCTATATCCCTCAATATTATTCTGATTGTAAATGGTTTCAACTGATTTCAATCTTGCATGTTTATATTGTTGAAACCTACACTGGGACCTTATGGTGAAGGGTAGGTAAGAAATCCAGTTAACAACAACTACAAACAACACATTAAAATATCCCTTTACTTGTTTTCTCTTGTCAAATGACACAGGCAAATAGCAAAGGGGGGGACGGGACTCGCAGGCTTTTTATAACAAATTATTGCAAATTCCTAATGCCCCTGACCGTAGTCATGGGCAATGGCAACATTTAGAAAACGTCTGAAAGCAGCGCTGTTCAGGGAAGTTTTTAATGTCTAACATTTTATTATTATTTTGCTGGAAGCCACCCAGAGTGACTGGGCAAACCCAGCCAGATGGGTGGGGTATAAACAATAAAATTATTATTATTATTAATAGGCGTACAACTAATTCTCTGTGAATTGGTTTTAATGGCTTTATTATGTATTATGTTTTGTTGTATTTTATTTTCCATGTGATGGTTGTGGTGAAATACAGAATAAAAACACCTTAATAAATCGATCAATCAAGTAGGATGAAGTCCAGTTGAAAACCATAGGCCATTAGTCATACCTAAATTTAGGAGGACAGGGATAATTGTGTCAAAGGTGTCCTGAAATCCTGGATGGCCAGTTTCAACAAAATATTTGATGGTTCTTTCCTCTTTGGGGAAAGTGGTAATGTTAGCCAAGTATGTCATCACCACCACTTTTTAGGGGATTTTTTATTCTGATGTATAGCTTTGCCCTTTCAGCTTCAAACACCCTTAAATTGCACAGAGAAGGCAAAATATGGCTGCATGGCTTCCTCGCTGTTGAGCAGGCTGGGATTTCTTTTGTACCACTCCCACTTTGGCCGAAGTGGCTCTTACCTGTCAACAAAACCTGATGTTAACAGACAGGCCCTAAAGTACGTGGATTTGCTTTCAGTTGAGGGGAATTTGCATGTACAGTACAATCATGTCTTGCGTGCAATTAATTTGCCCCATTTCAGCCTTACGTGGTTGAAAGCTGGCTGGTTGAAATCCCACAAATCAATTGCACGCAAAGTGGAGATCTTGAAAGCTCCTATGCTCTGGGTTTTCCCAGTGTGGAAAACACTTTTAAAGTCTCTGACTTGCTTACTGGGCTTGGGGAGGTTGCTGAGAAATCTTGTGGAAGCTCAGATGGCCCTGCGAGATCTTGCGAGAGCCTCCCAAAACTTAAAAGCTCTCTGGCTTGTTTGGAAGGTAAGGGGCAGTTCCAAGGGGGTGGTTTGGGTATACACATTTTTGCATGTATGCGCCATCCCCAGAATGTATTTTTCCTTAGTGGAAGTGTAGTACAGTAGAGAATGCAACAGAAGAAAAGAAATCAAGGGTTTAAACTCTTGATTGTATGTTCTGAATGGTGATTAGAAATAGTGTGGAATTGCTATGCATTAAGTATAGAATGCCATAGTTCAATTTTGACTACTTATAGATAATACACAGTGCACACACCCAAATTTTTGATGCTAATTAGTTGAGGGGGGAGAAGAGACAGATGGATAGATTAACAAGTGCCATCAATTCATCCCAGAGGCTTAGAGAAAATGTGGGCAAGGTTAAAAAGACTGCCTATATCAGCATTTAGAATAGCCTAAACCTTTTGCTTTCAAACCACAGGTTTGCTGCTGGAACTGTGTGTGTGTGTGTGTGTGTGTGTGTGTGTAAGCAAGCTTGCAATTTGAAGACTGCACATCTTGCTGTGTTTATTATTATATGCTGGTATAATTTGAACTATTACCTGTGGCAAACTAGTCAAGCCTTTCAGGCTCTGCTGGGACCAGGAAGATCGCAATAATAGGGTGCGGGGTTTGGATTTGGGTCAAAATGCAGCTTAACATTCCTGTTCAGTCATGAAGGTCACTTGGTAACCTTAAGCAAGTCAGTGTCTCTCAGACTAGCCTGTGTCAAAGGGTGGCAGGAAGGCACTTTGTTCACTGAAAGATACAATAGAAAAGCATAACAATAACAAGCCTTGAAGCATTTTAAAGACCAACACATTTATTATGGGCCAAGCGTTCGTGGACTCTGGATGACAAACATTTAATGCCATATTAAATGTGTTAAGTCTTTAGGGTGCCACAATACTCTGTTGCTTTTGCTGCAACGGACTAACAAAGCTAACCCAGTGGTGGTGATGGTAACAAAAACAACAGAAATAGTGTAAATTGTATTACAGAAGTCTTTGAGTATATTTTGGCTATTTCTAACTGGGACTGGGACCTGCCTGGAAACCAGTAATCTATGTTAGTTCTTTACTCTTGTCATATTGCCAAGACTTTGAAAAAAGAAGACAGGCACCTGAGAGGAACTTGTGGAATGTGACAAGAATATTAATATGCCAAGGTTTGTTAAAGTTGTTGTATTGTTTGTCAGACAATATTAACAATGAAGTGGTTGGAGGGGTGTGTGGAAAGAGGAGAGGAATGTTTTCACCTAAGACATCAGGACTTCAAAACTGGAGGGGTAAATGAAAATGGGAACTAGTGCTAGACCAGGAAGCATGTGGTTTTGAAACAATTGCAGTGAGCTTTGAGAACACACAGAAGTTAGATGTGAGCAGTTGCCATCTACAAAGGAACTAACTACACTTGCCTGCTGGTAGATCTCCAGGGTGCCAGGCAATAATCTCTCCCAGTCCTACTTACTTAGTTGAGCTCCTCTAACTGGATATCCCTAGATGCGAAATCTTCTTCGAACTCATAACCTGTCCCTAAAAAAAGATAGTCTGACTCGCACTTTGATATGAATGAAAACTTGGGCATGGCAACATGTGCCCAGCCCCGCTTTTAGACGAGAAAGGTCTCAAAGCTGGTTCCAGCTGGCATCAAGATACATCACAGAGAACAGCAAGCTCAACACATGTCACAAGTCCTTTCAGCTGTTGATCCATTGCAGCAGCTTACTCAGCTCTTTCCAATGGAGCTGTTTATTCCCTCTGTGGTCACTGTCTGTTCATGGGCTGAATTGGAACTTGGGCGCTGTAAAAGTGTAGACTGCTCTGAACAAAGCCACATGGCTAGCTAGAATTCAAAACAACAGGATTTAAATTTCAGGGTAAGTTATACCACCTGAAACAGAGAGATTGAATTTTCAGAGGATGTAGCTATGTTGGACTATTGTAGTAAAAACAAAAGGGAGTCTTATAGCACCTTGAAGACATCATGTAAGGCATCATGGAGTAGATGCAGAAAGTGCTATCCTCAGATGGCAGGTTTATTTAAGCACAAACACGTGAAAAGAAAAAAAATGTAATCCATGAAATGCAAAAAGTACAGTCTGTGACAATTGTAAAATAGATGTACAGTCATACCTTGGGTTACAGATGCTTCAGGTTGCGCGTTTTCGGGTTACGGACACACCAAAACCCGGAAGTACCGGAATGGGTTACTTCCGGGTTTCGGTGCTCGTGCATGCACAGAGGCACTAAATCACAACCCACACATGCGCAGATGCACCGCTGTGGGTTGCGGACACTGTGGGGTGCGAATGTGCCTCCCGCACGGATCACGTTCGCAACCCGAGCGTACACCGCATGTCAGATTGCTCCTGTCTCCCATTTCTTTTTGCTGAGCTTTTGAAGCATATTGCAATGCTTGACCGAGCAAGAAACCCAGCCAGATGGGTGGGGTATAAATAATTTATTTATTTATTTATTGTTATTTAAAAGCTGCTTGAAGGTGTGATGAGGCTCTTTGTTGTTTCTGTAGGCATCCCTGTCCCTACAAGGGGTCTCTAGATTAGGGCAACACATTCTAAACATTGGTCAAGACACCAGTTGGTAGACTTTGTAGCATGACTACATAAGGTGTAAAGCTAGAAAAATAAGGGCAAATAAGCTTGTACAGAATTATCCTCAACGCCATCTACAAAAAATGGATGTTATCCATCTCTGGGATTCCTGTAATGCTCTAGTTACACTGGCCCACTATATTGCAAGTGGTTTTAAAGACTTAACCCCTCCTTTGATTAAGCAGAGGTGTGGTTGACCAATGTTTCCTTTATCAACAAAAGCTGTGTTTGCTGCATTTTTAGATTAAATGGCTCCATAAGCATCATTGTGTGTTTTAAGCCTGGCCTGGTTTTTACCATTTGTTCTTCATTGTAATTAAGAAGATAAAGAACTTTTGAAATTAGAGCTTAGTATTGCATATTCAACCTAGCAGTTCGAAAGCACGCCAGTGCAAGTAGATAAATAGGTACCACACTGGCGGGAAGGTAAACTGTTTCCGTGCGCTGCTCTGGTTTGCCAGAAGCGTCTTAGTCATGCTGGCCACATGACCCGGAAGCTGTACGCCGGCTCCCTCGGCCAATAAAGCGAGATGAGTGTGCAACCCCAGAGTCGGCCACGACTGGACCTAATGGTCAGGGGTCCTTATTGCATATTCTGAAACAGATTTAAGTGCACCACCCTTCTTCTCCATTCTCTCTTGTGGTTTTAAATATAACACCCTCTCCTCCTTTTACTCTAGATCCTTGAAGAGAACATGAAGTTGGAATGCAAGTGCCACGGTGTGTCGGGATCATGTACTACTAAGACATGCTGGACAACTCTTCCTAAATTCAGGGAGCTGGGCTACATCCTTAAGGACAAATACAACGAAGCCGTTCAGGTTGAACCAGTGAGGGCAAGTCGTAATAAACGCCCAACTTTTCTTAAGATAAAGAAACCACTCTCCTACCGCAAACCCATGGATACAGATTTAGTGTACATAGAGAAATCGCCTAACTACTGTGAAGAGGACCCTGTCACTGGAAGTGTGGGAACACAGGGCAGAATGTGCAACAAAACAGCCCAGCAGACCAACGGCTGTGACCTGATGTGTTGCGGTCGAGGTTATAATACTCATCAGTATTCAAGAGTGTGGCAATGCAACTGTAAATTTCATTGGTGCTGTTATGTTAAATGTAATACGTGCAGTGAAAGAACAGAAGTGTACACCTGTAAATGAAAGTGTGGCTTGGGAGGGGGAAACCTACAGCCTTGGAATAAACACATATTTTTTTTGCACATAAGCTCAGTGCACCTACACACGACTGTAGCAAAGACCCACACTGTTTCCAAAAGAAAAACCAGCAAATGGATCCCATCTTCCCCTCTTAATATATCAGCGCTTAAATGGAGACCCATCAAAGACTTAGAGAAATAGTCCAAAAACAACATCAGACTGTTTAAAAAAGGAAACAGAAACAAACAAGTCACCTAATACAAAAAAAAAAAAAGTGGGGGGAAATGCTCTCAGATATTCTGCGCCTTCAGAACATAATTTATTGACTGCCTTAAGGGGAAAAGACCATGTCCAGACCAAGGCAAGGGGCTCTTTGGGACTGGATGAGTGAGAGATTGAAAGGCGCCACGCATAAAGAGAGGGCTGGGGGAAGCAACAATTCTTAAACATGGTCTTTGCACAGGATGGGGTGACAATGCGCCAGTGTGAATTTCAACTTAAAGAGAGTGGATTAAGCAGATTTAGGGATTTCTACACTTGTGAAAAGCTTCTGCTGGTCCTTCTGTCTTTCCGTTTTTTTCAGACAATGTGCTACTGCAAGTAGGATTGTTGATGTTTTCCATATAAACACTGGTTTATCTGCCTTTTTGTCGTGCTGCAGATATTTTAGCACAGGGATTTGGGACATCTGGGCATAATAATAATAGCAATATTTAACAATTTATCCAGATAAAGCTAATATTAATTTATTTAATTAAAAAGAACTCTACCGACATTTTTGAAAACCATTCTGCATTTAGATAGCCTGCTTTTTTTGTGGAATAATTTTGTAGATATGGAAAGCAGGGGACACCCTTGAGCTGTATATATTATTGTTTACTCAGATATTTCTACTAGTTGGAATTGCAGGATGTTTTCTCCTGCAATAATAGATGTTAAGTACAAAAGCAGGCATCTTTTATAATTTGTTTGGCTGTTTGCTGCTAGTTGTCTGGAATCTCAAACCGATATTCATCTTCACCTAGATACCAGTGCATAACCTGTCCAGTTTTTTTTATTTTATTTTAAGGAGCATTACATAAATCCAGTTGGAAATAATGCATCACACATAAATGCAAAACTCCAGACAAGTTTCCATCTTTGGAAAATGAACCATAGGATAAAAGAGTATATTTTGTAAGAGACTATTTTTATATGAATATTTTATTTATACTATGTCTGCTTGTATAATTCTATAACCTGTACTTTTTCTCAAAACAGGCACACAATTTGTAATTGTTAGGCTATTTAACAGATAAAGGCTGATTACTTTGTTGACCTGAAAGTAGAAAGCTGGATGCATTCAGTTGTTACTGGTGGATGTACAAAATACAGAATGAATTTTCTCTCCGGATGTATGTACAACGTGGCTCTTTTCCTGCAGTTCAATTTGCAGAATATGCAGAACAAGAACAGGGTATGTAGCATCAGTTTTGTCACATGGTTTGAATTCATGGTTGGTATTAACTGGATGCTCCTTTATCCCATTCAGAAAAAAATCTGAATTAGCTTCCCAGATGCATCAGTCATTAAACTGTGGCGTTATGACTAGCAAATGTGCTGTGTGTGCTGTCAGTTAAACCTCTATATTGTGCTACTGTCAAATTTGATTTTATCAGTGCAAGACTGTAGACTATGACTGTAAAAACTAGCATGACACGCATAGACTGATTCTCATAGATAAGACACAAAGCTTACGGGTTTTGTCCAACTAGTTTTTGGCATTTGCCCTCCTCTTTCCCTCTCGGAAGGTTCTTAGTGAAAAAGATCAAGTCACATTTTAGACAAACTTTCAGTCAGGCCCCCACTACTTTTTGTGTGTGTTCAGTTCCTGCACTGTGGCATTTCCTTTCTTATCCCTAAGATTTTCTTCTGCAATTATGTTCAATTAAATTGTTTTGCTTTGGGGGAATTGTTGTGATCATTCCACCAGGATCACGGAAAATTCGTTCCCCCAAATATGTAATTGACTTTTGCTATTTCACATCCTGATTCCAAGATGAAACTAATGGGACCCCTTTCCACATTATATCCAGAGAAACTTTCATGGAAGAAACTCATACAAGTAAATGTAAAAAATTGTACATGAAAATCTGTTGCATGATGTAAGCCAGGACTGTCCAACTCCCAAGAGACTGTGATCTACTCCCACTATAAAAACCCCAGCAGTGATCTACCCATTGGATTGACCAGAGCTGTTCAGCTCTTTTTTTTTTTTTGAAAAGCTTAATCAAAGTTGTTGAGCCTTTGGGGGGGGGGCATCAGGGTCCCGCGATCAACCAGGATTAACCATGGACATCCCTGCTGTAAGCTATTTCACATAGGTATATGAAGGTTGCTTATGTGAAGTCTTGGACATCCACAATTTTTTGTCTTGTGCATGCAGCCCTCTGGGTTGTAAGGCTCCAAAGAGCCCCATGCCTAAGGAACTTGTGTGTATGCATGGAGGGGCTGCTCATTTCTCTTCATGGCTGTAGCCCCCTCAAGCCACATCAAATGTGCTCTGGTGTGCGCCCTATCTTTCGAGATGTGATGGAAAAGGCTGCCATTTAAATCCTGGGCAGTGTATTTCAGACTGATGTATTGGAAATACAGGACCTTGTTGTTAGAGACATAAACATGACTGTATTGTGCCCCACCTAAGGCTTTAGGAAGGGGTAGAACATAAAACAATTTTTTAATCAATTGCATCAACTATGACAACTCCTTAAAGCTGCTATTCCAATCACTATTCCAACCTTTCATTTAAAACCAATGAGATTTACTTCTAAATGAAAGGCTGTGTATCCTGTGTCTAGTGTGTCCCCCACTGCTGGTTTGGGAACCGGTGTACATATAACGTTAGCCACAACCCATATCTATCCCGTGTCTGCCCTGCTGTTTCTTATGAAATATTGTGCTTTGATCTGGGGAGTGGGGTGGCGCTTTGGCCTAAACCCCTGAGCCTCTTGGGCTTGCTGATCAGAAGGTTGGCGGTTCAAATCTGTATGATGGCCTCCCGTTGCTCTGTCTCAGCTCCTGCCAACCTAGCTGTTCGAAAGCACACCAGTGCAAGTCGATAAATAGGTACCGCTGTGGCAGGAAGGTAAACAGTGTTTCTGTGCACTCTGGTTTCCATCACAGTGTCCCATTGCGCCAGAAGCGGTTTAGTCCTGCTGGCCACATGACCCAGAAATCTGTCTGTGGACAAATGCTGACTCCCTTGGCCTGCAGTGAGATGAGCGTCGCAACCCCATAGTCGCCTTTGACTGGACTTAACCATCCAGGGGTCCTTTACCTTTACCTTACTGTGCTTTGATGCAAATTTTCCCAAAACAGCTTTGACTGAGAGAAGGAACAACCTTGCTGCATTTTAAGTTGGTAAAGTATACACACTAGGACTTTAGTGAGAGTGGTCAAATTGTGAGGTCTTCCTGTCTCATTAAAAACTATCACAAGAATGCATACATGCCCAGTAGTTTACCTTCTTTAGGAACTATTAGCACTCTAAATTAGTCTTAAGGGCTACATTTGGGAGATCAGAAATGAATGTGAGGAAACACAGCTTTATTATGAGTCATGATTTAAATCACATGAACCACACGGGGGTCACTTCATACAAATGGTACCATGTAGATCAGAGCAGGACTTAATTTCTTGGTAGCAGACACACCATTGAAGTAATGTTTGAATTGTTCCTTGGCACAACCACTTGGGTTGAAAGGGCAGAAGAGTGCATTGGAAGCAAGGCTCCTCCCTGCAACTTCCTCCAACAACAGAGTGGGTAAGTGAAAAAGGAATTAGGGCTAATGCTCACCAATATCTTCAATGGGATAGAGAGTTTCACCATTTAATAACCTAGAAGAAGACAGAAGTTCCTCAGGTGCAGCATCTCTTGTTACAGGGTTGCAATGAGAGTGGTATCTGCTGAATTGTGCAGTGGCGTTTAAGCAGAGGCCATTTTAGGCTAGCATGAGTAGTGCAGTCGCACTGGGCACCGCGCTGCAGGGGGCGCTGCAACAATGCTGTAGAATCATAGAGTTGGAAGGGACCAGAATGGAATGAGAGTAGTGGAGGGGGTGGTTTAGCTTCATCAAATTTGAGAGCCCAAAGAAATTTGAGAACCAATGAATTATGGAACTAAAAGCCTGGAATATACTCATCTACATCATTAAGATGAGTTAGAACAGTTGATCATAAATTCAACAGGTGCAACTTTCCTGAAATGAAGCTGCAAGCTGGGTTGGCTCAATAGTGTCACACTTTATATACACCCATTTATTACATTCTCTACAGTTTTCAAGCTACAATCTACAAAGCACTGAGGAGGAACACTGGATGAACCATGTCTTTAGATGGCACCTTATGGGTTAGGAAATATTCAATGAATTGACAGTAAGTAGATTTTCAACTTATGGCTCATCCACAAAATATGATTTGAGAAACATCTAACTCTATCACTGCATTAATAAGAACCGATTCTCAAAGTTTTACGTAGTCCACTAATTACTATTAGCTAAATGTCTGTGAAGTGGACATGTGATTTAATAATGTAGACATTGTTCGTGGATTATAGAAAACGCCAACCGTTACATTTGCAGTATGTTTTTACTCTACGAAAGCATTACGTAGAATTTCTCTCTCTCTGTATATCTTTACATTAATGATGCACAGTGTATAACTATCTCAATGACTCCTAAAGATCTGGTTTCTTTAAATAGATTTACTTGCAACAATAAGAAGCGGGTGTGTACAAAGAAAATTCATTTTTAGAAAATTCATAATGAACTAGGGAGAAAGTACATGAATATTTCACTAATTTAGGTTTAGAAATCATCTTTAACTTGAACAGAACCTTTTAAAAGTTTGGACTATCTCTCTTGCTTAGAAGTATTTAAAGTCAATAAAACTTTTATAACTAGCAGTCCTTTTAAATTGTGCAGTGAGGACAGGGTAGTCCAACCACATCTTCTCTTACTAAAATCAATCTGATCCATGATCCATCAACCATGTATTGGGAATTAGTTGTTAAATAAATAAATTATTTGGAATGACCAACATTGCTTAATATTTGAAAATCTCTAAGCAATATAAAAAATAGAACACAATTAAAATAAAAGTCTAAATGCAGATTTAAACAAAAAAAAATATTATAGCAAACAGATTAAAAACAGACATACAGTGATAACAGGGTCCAATCTTACAAGCCAGGGGAAACCAGGACATCTGACGCAACAGATGGATGATGCCTCAATGGCATGAAAAATAAACATGAAGAAGAGATACCTCTGCATTTTTTTATCTCTCTCCCCAACCTATTATTCACCATGTCTTGGGGTTTTCTTTATTAAAGATTGGCACAATAGCAATTTATGATAGGATTCCCCTCAAAAAGGCTTTTGCCAGATGAACAAAGTGTTCAGTGAATGTCCCTGTAGGAACCCTGGGGATATTTGAAAGCAAATATTTCATTTAATTTATAATTTGTGTACCACCCTTCTACTGTATTGAAGGCTGAAGAAATGACAAAAAGTACAACAAAAATCACACTGCCATTCTATAGCAAGTATAACAAAAAACAAGCAATGAAAAGAAAAACCCATTCACCTATAGTATTATGAGATGATATGTTGTAATAATAAATAAAAAACAAAGGGAAAAGACTATGGAAACAAACTGGAAGACCCAGTCCTAAAGATGCATGTAGCTGCAAAGGCACATGGCGTGGCTTGTATCAGCATAGCTATAGTTGCATTTCCAGTGAAGTGAATTTGCCTTGTTGTTATGATACTTTGCCAGTCACATTCACATTCAGATTATTACTATACATCAAGATTCATGATCCCGAATGCCATAGATGCTCCAATGAAGGTATGAACCTCAGTCCTGGAATTCACAAGCAGAACACAAAGCTGCTCACCTGCTGGGGTGCTTGTGGGCCCTGCTCCCACCTCAAGTGTCATTCACTGAAAATGCTGGTCAGGTGACATGCAGGGAGCTGAGTCATGCCCACACCCAGTTCTTAAGTGGGCAAACATTGGGGGAGACCGTGCATGAACCAAATCAATCCTTTACTTCTCTCTTGTTCTCCCTCTTCCTACTGGTGCTTGATGTTACATAGAGCTGACAGTGCTGACCAGGCGATAAATGTATGGAACATAAGGTCTCTGTGGAGAAACTTTGCTGCTGGATGAATGCTGGGGGCAGGGGCTTTCCTTTGATCTTACACCTATGTGGAATGCTGTGGATATATATGGGTTTCTCAGGACCAGAGCAGTGGAGTTTTCATGCGAATAGGCTCAGATGATTCCACAGAAAACCTCAAGCATTCGCTCAGCCAGTCCTATTATCAGGTATACCAATGAAGCAGTGTGCATCCTAAGAGCCGCTTCCAGGTATCTTTTGTGAGTTGACAGAAGATGTTGGGACTCAGATTGATCTTACTTGCACATAATCTGAGTGTTGTTCCTAATGTTTACTTCAACATTGCAAAGATGTGGGAGTGCATCTCTTGGATCACATAAACCAGCTGCTTGGTGTGGAAGAATGTCTTTTCCAGACATGTGTGTGAG